CCCCAAAAAAAAAGGAGGCGAGATAAAGACAACAGATGTCTCATTGGACAGAAGCAGCAAACCACAGCAGAGCATCTGCCAGCAACCTGCAGTGCGTCTGAGTTTTTCAGAGTAAAGGGCAGCACATCAACCCAATAAAGGTCATTAGAGTATGAAATGATTTAGACCAATAAACGGAAGCAACACAGGGAAAGAAAAAAAAGTAAGACCTGCTAGCGGTGCCTTCCATTCCCCACAATTAAAAGTTACAAATACATGGGATTTTATGGAAGTTAAAAGTTGCATTTGTTTAAGTGAAGCACACATCAATACAATTACATCAAGACCGACAGACAGACAGACAGACAGACTGACACAACCAAGGGATTGTAAAGAAGTTATACCTTCCATTGTGGTCTTCAAACCACCTGTAAGCCAAAAGCTTGATTTGTTAAAGTATACTTATCTATGGTCTTTTATAGCCATCGAGGACAACACAGATCTACAATATCTCCTTTGTGGCCTGTCCACTCAGAATTACAGTCCCCTGCGATATGCAGTATTGCAGCCAGTCAGACAAATGCTCCTATCGTTTACATATTCAATCTCTTTAAAAGGGTAAATACTATTCTAAAGGTGTAAGAACAAGAAGAGGAGCAATGTTGACGAAACAACAAACATACTTGGAAGAAAGCTTTACTGTTTTGAGTTTGGCTACAGAGAGGCACATCAACACAATAATAGTCACTTAGTGCATCGCAAAAATAGGACAGATGGAATAACTAATGATTCATTCGTAGACGTGAGCATGGCACACTAAAAATTGTAAAGGTTTAACACTCATTTCAATACCGTAAGGTTATTTAAGAGGTGGGGAGGGTACACTTAATTCCCTACCAACCATCCAAACCTCTGAAACAAAACTACCATTAACAGTGGCAATCAATGAAGACAACACACTGAAATAGTAAAGAAGTAGAAGCTACAACTGGCTCCCTCTTACCACCCACTTCCACACCTCCGAAATACAACAACCGACATAAACAGGACCAAAGACCAACACATATGATGATTTGATTAATAGAGGTGCATTGATAAAATATAGTCACTTAGAATTGGGTGAAAAGAAAAAAACCCAAGATGGACAGGCAGACAAAACACAGGAAGAGTTGTTTAAAAAAAAAAAAAAAATGGAACCTATCAGTCGAACCTTCTAATAAACTCATACCATTGTAATGAAATTGTTGCAAAAACAAACGACGACAAACAACCTGTACCTCGACAGCAAACCCTCACCTTCTTGGATTGTGAAGCCCCGGCTGTCTTCTGCCTCCGGTCATTCCAGGCCACAGCAAAGGCCGCCAGAAGGTTAGTGCCGTGCGGCAGAGAGATGGGGCTCAGCAGCTCCAGGATATGCTGGCGGACCTCCTGCAGGGTAATGATGAAGAGTCATGGGGTGTGAATGTTTGTGTCTGTGTTAGATATAAAAGGGACAGGGAAAGGGAATGGAGGAGGCTGAAGGAGAGGAGGAAGACTGATAAAATGATGATCATGTTACTTGTAACACATTTTGAGAAATATAGCATAAAAATCATCTTTGATCTCCTGGCTAATGATCAGGAAGAGAATGAGGAGAAAAAGGAGATGAGGAGGAGAAGAATGAGGAGGAAGAGGTAGAGGAGGAGGAGAGAAAGCAGAAGAAGCAGAAGCAGAAGAAGCAGAAGCAGAAGCAGAAGCAGAAGCAGAAGAAGAAGAAGAAGAAGAAGAAGAAGAAGAAGAAGAAGAAGAAGAAGAAGAACTAAACCTCACCTTGTAGTCTCCAACATATGGGTGGCTGGAGGGTGTGGCCTCCCCAGCCTCTCCCCCGACAGAGACAGCCTTCCACAGGGTGGCCATGCAGGCCATGATGCGAGGCAGGATGCTGAGCAGACGTGCCCGAGCCTCCAATACCGGTGACACCGGGGCAGAGTCTCGTGCTGGGCTGGGCTCCTGGGGAGAGAGGGGGGAATGGGAATGAATTGATTGTAACTGTTTGGTACAGAAAAAGTAATAACTCAGGAAATAAAACATTTCAAATCTGCCTGTCAGGTCCAATCTAGGCAGTGTGGAGCACTATATCCTTGTAGAAAGATTCTTCTCAGCCGAAGAATCAAACACAAATTCTTCTTTTTGTTTTAGTAAGGGTTTTAGGCATTTGCAACACAATAAGGTCACATGAGAGCAGAAGATTATGGATGTTGGATGTTACAAGAGAGTAACAAACACACAAAAAAGAGGAGATATGACGGCAATAAAAGTTTGATAGGATAGAAGGGGCAAACTACACCAGAGCACCCGCCAACCAGCTGCATGAATTCTTTGACACGAAAGGGAAAAGTATAACAATTACATCAGAATCTGAGCATCTCAACACACCTTTCCACTCATAACCGGGTTGAACACATGAATCAGGTTGGTCAGTATCTGTCCGGCACTGGCCGTCTCCGTGGAGATGTTGGTGGCGGTGGGGGCGGGCTGGCCGATGGACACGGGGCTAGTGTTGTCCAACAGACAGAAGTGGCACATGGTGGTCAGTCCCTCCAGCATGCTCAGCATGTGGTCGGGCGGGACTCGCTGCATGCACGGCCTGGAGGATAGAGGGGCGATTGTGATGAATGTGACAAGTGCAGATGATTGTGAAGATTGAACGAGTTGCAATGACTGCATAGACTGCAATGATTGTAAAGAATGTAATGGTCCCTTTGAAGATAAAGATTGCACTGATTTTATTGATTGCAATTATTGTAAAGACTGTAACGATTGAAATCATGCTAAAGACTGCAATGGATTAAAATGATTACAATGATTGTAAGATTGCCATGGCTGGAATGATTGCAATGATTGTAAAGAGAGCAATAGTTGTAATGATTAAAATGACAGTACCAAAGTAAATGATTCCGAAGATTGTTCAACTTATAAAAAGACTACGCCAGAACCTTACCAATTATATGCATTGCACTATAAACAACAAATGTCTACATATTTCTCTAGTCATCAACATACCCACTCCCCCTAAAAGCCCTAGAAGAAACAGCACGTACTTATTTCTCGACAGGTCAGCCGCTAAAATATCAAGATTCCGGCACAGCTGCAGCACGACACAGAGCACGGTGCGGGACAGAGCCTTGCCCATGTAAGGCAGGGCAGAGGTGAGCAGACCCAGCCAGTGACGGTGAAGGTGGCTCTGGTGGTGCTGCTTGAGGGCGCTCCAGACCGCCGACAGGAACATCTCCTGCTGGATCACCGGCAGACTTGGGTTGTAGTGCACGTTCAGCAGGGAAGACTGAAGAGTTGTTGGAGGAAAGAGAATATTAGTTTCAGTAATAAACCTATTTATAATCTATATAATCTTTGAATCTGTACATTTTGGTGTAAATCCAGCAGACCAGCAGCTCATGCAGAGTAACAACAGAATAATTTTTTTAAACCCCCAAAACCAAACAACACTCACCAACAATAGATAATTAAATACTTTATTCTTATGCTTTAAAATGTATTAACCTATTTCATTTTTAAATTCAGAAACTGTCACAATGATAAGAAAGGATTAGGCATGTCTTATCAAAACTGCAACCACATTAATTACACCAAACTATATTTTTGCTCTCCAGTCCCCCTTTAAAAACATATTAAAATGCAATTTAAAAAATCAGACCAATTCAGATCGTGGGGACTCAATATTTACATGTTTGACTGACATATCCTGTAATGCAAAGTCCAGCAAACTCCAGGCAATTCAAGAAATCTGGATTTTAAAATTTATTTGGAAAATCTGCATCTCTGAACCTACACTGTGTGGAAATGGGTTTAAAACTCGGGCACAAAACCCAAACCAGAAACGAGTTTACTCACCGAGAGGTGTGTGCGCTGAGGCTCGGTCCCAGAGGAATCTCCTCCCCCGCGTGCGATGCGGATCTGCTCCTCCAGCATGATCATCACCAGCATTAGCTGCAACAGCTTCGTCTGGAATGTGTCGTTAACCCCAGGGTCAAGGCTATTCTCATTGAAGTCGATAATCATCTCTGTGAGCTTGACTGCGTCGCGGCTGTAGCTGCCGCTGCCCTCGCCACCTCCAGAGGCTGCAGACTGCTGCCTGTTGTTTTTGTTGTTGCTGCTGGTGTTGTTGTTGTGGGCGGGGGCGCTGCGACCCTGGTTGTACACAGAGGCCAGCATACAGTGTAGAAGAGACTTCTGAAGTTTGCAGCGAGACAGCAGATCTGAGATATAGGACACAAAGTTCTTGCCGCTCTCCTTCATGATGGACAGAAGCTCTGAGACGAGCAGAGTCAGGATCTCCACACCCAAGATGTGAACCTAGGAGACGTAAAAATAATTGATTGTAAATGTTCTATGCCTCCATCAGCCACCAGAGACAAGTCACAGTGGGCAAGGAAAAAATAAATAACAATACTTAATTATAAGAGATCATTATGTTCTTTATTTGTACGTACAGAATTCTATTGCATGCTTAAAATTATTTTTTTTTAAGACTTTGAAAAGAAAGACAACAATGGTCATTTAGAGTGGGGGAAAAGTAAGACACATGGACAGAAACAAGAGAAAAAGCAAAAAAAGTAAAGAATTTTGAACTTTCCAAAGAATGCCTTTATAGGTTTTCATACAAATAAACCAGACAGAACAAAAAGATCATTGCCAAACAGCGCGAGGCCTTAACTCACTAAAACTAAAGCAAAAGAGACGACTATCAGAGCAGATTATTGAATCCTGTTACTTAATTCCTTTTAGGTTGTTGTTATCAATCCAGAATTTCTTTTAGGAGAAACAACTTTCTAAGGAAAACAGTGCAATGTTTACATGTATAATGAAAGAAAATAAAAAACAAAGAAAGTGAACTTTGATCTTATCCTCTTTGAAATTTTCATGAACATACTACAAAATTAAATCTATACGCCTTCTGTGTTTCAAAATAATCTGTTTGTCTTAAGGGAAAGGGAAGGGGTTTTTTCCCACCATAAAATAGACAACTAGGCTGTTCTCAATATTTGTGCAATTGTGACCAGCTTCATAAGCCGCATTTTGAGCAGCCGCGAGAAATTTTTCAAACAATCTGAATTACTGCACTGGGTATCAAGGGCCTTTCAAGAAAAAATATTTAAATCTTTAATCATATATGTCGTATGTAAAGCTCCCCAGCTTAAGAAAACAGGTTCAGCACCCCTTTCAACACTGTAAGGTTATCTGCAATGCAGATTCTCCATACATTACATCCATCTTTTTTAGGAGCAAGCCAAGTAGGACGAAAGCCTTGAAAACTCCCCCAACAACTAAAATCTCAGAACACCCCATTGAAGATTCAACCAAGGGTCATCAGCACCAACAGCCCTGCATGATAAAAACTGAAGTAACCAGAATGAGATGCTGCAGAAAGATTTTAGGCATTTCCAACAATCAAGACAAATGGTGAAAATAAAAAGCCTACACGCCACTCACCATCTTATTTCCGAGCAGCTCTTCAGACGTCAGTTTGCTGATCATCAGATTGGGGTAGTAGCCGCGCACAAAGTACAGGCAGAGAGAGATGACAATCTCCACAAACATGTTGCTGCGGTAGCTGGACATGACCTCAGGCGGGAGGTCACCAAAGAAATTCTTGCCAAACACAGACTTTCTGTGACGACCTGAGGGAAACAACAGTGAAGTCTCAATGAGTAATATAATAGAGAATGAAAGAAACACATTTAGCAAGATTCCTGTGTGGGGAAGCGCAGCATCTAGTACAATCTCCATTATTCTGCTGGGATGTTGCTTCCCCCACTCATTATGGGTTGGCCATGACAAAAAGGAAGGGATAAAAACCACTAGCCTTACCACTAGACAACTGATGCCGCACAATCACAAGGATCTTTAGTACTTTACTTTACTTACTTTAACTTTTATCCGCCGCTTATACCCTTTTAGGTGTCGCAGGAAGAAAGAGACCTCTATCTGCCACTAGCCGGAGAGCTTGGGTCAGGGCGATGCTATGAGTTGTTAGCGTTTCCCAAATTCCATCTATCCAGGTCTTTCTCGGTCCCCCTCTAGCCTTGTTGCCATTGAATTTTTTTATGTAGGCACGTTGTGCTGCATGGTGTTGGTAATCACATGAGATGTCCAAACCATTTGATTCTTTGGTGTTGGATGTGATACATGACATCATTTGTGCCCACCATTTCTCTGACTACTGAGTTTCTAATTTTGTCTTGCTTTGATCTTGCTTACTGCTTTTCTAAGACATTGCATTTCACATGTTGTAATTTTTTGCTCCAATGTCTTGTTCATGGTCCATGTTTGGAATTGATTGGTGAGTGTTGGGATGAATATGGTGTGACCATTTTGAGTTTTGTTGTCATGGGGATGTTAGGATGTTCCAGTAGTGGAGCAACCTTTTAGTTTTAGTAAGAGTTTTATGGCACTTGCAACACAATAAGGTCATATAAGTGCTGAAGATTAGAGGTGTTACAAGAGAGTAACAAGCACAAAAAAGAAAGAAGGCAGATAGAGACAATAGATTTTTTATAGGAAAGAAGAAGCAAACCAAACCAGAGCACTCGCCAACCACCCACTGGAGCAAGCTGGTAACTAAAAACAGTCTTTATCTCAGGACTGAACACAACATAATTTTTCGAGAGATTCTAAGAGTAATGAATTAGAATAAAATTTGGGGGAAAAGATTAGGACACAAAATGGCCATTACTCACCGAGCAGAGACTGCAGCTTGGCCAGGTGAGGGGGCCGCACAGAGCTGATGCTTGTGGTGGCCATTGCCGTGACGACCAGCCTCGGGCAGCTGAGCAGCATGGCCCGGATGGTGGACAGGGCGTAGATGGTGCGCTGGTAGTCAAACTTCTGGCAGTACAGCAAGATGTGCATGTGGAGCTCGTGGATGTCTGTGCTTGGGTCAAGGTCACGGTGATCCACAGCCAGGCGGGTCATGTCTCCATCCTGACCGCCCCCAGACAGGCTGCCTGTGCTGCCACCTGGACAATGTTTGTTTCATATTTTGTTTTAAAAAGAACTTTACAGCACTTGCAACACAATTAGGTAAAAAAAAGTGCAGAAGATTAGAGGTGTTGCAAGAGATTAACAATCACAAAAAAAGGAGGACAGGTAAGGACAATAGACGTTTTATAGGAAACCAGGAGAAAACCACACCAGAGCACCCACCAATCACAAATTCTAAAGGATTCATTGAAAGGAAAATTATTGAGATTGTGCACTCCAGGCAATCATTTTTTCTAAATGCAGTCAAACCTGCTCTAACCTTCATCTGTAGTAGACAATCACCTATCAAAACAGTCATTTCCCAATTCCCCCTTGCATACTTTTCACATTATAATGACACTGTGTAAGTCGTCCACCTGGCCTCCTTTCTCCTCGACAATGGGTGGCCGCCTTAACTCTTTATCTCCGAGGGGGGTAAACCAAGTACTCCTGGGCCCTTTTTTGGTACTAAATCTAAAACTGACAAAAACGTCACTGAGTAATTAAATCGAAACTAGCAAACCTATCATGATAGTACAGTATCTAATGAATGAACTTCAGGTAAAAGAAACCTGTTTTCAGCAGTTCCGACCGCGAGCCGCAGGGAGCGGCTTGCCGGAGATAAAGAGTTAATTAATTTCTACTGTACATATATATACTTTCTGCATGGAGCACAACTTTTTACATTAAAATAAAGGCTTCAAACTCCCCCTACTCCTTATCCATGAGATACAAAGTAATACTAAACAAAACACAGTGGGGGCCAACCAAGGGAACAAACTTCAGAGGTCAGGTAATTAGCATGTTTTTTTACTTCCTGACAAAGAACAGGTTAGCAGAAAAATTTTATTCGCTTTGTTTTGAAGTGTGATTGTCAATGAAAAATCAATAACTAAATGTGATGGTGTCTGCTATGAAAAAGTTTGTGTCTTACCTTACATATTATTTATGACAACACATTATTTACACCAAAGCTTCGCATCTCAAATCTACTTGTGTCTTATCCAAGCATATGTTCTTTTCATGATGATATACACAGTAAGTTCTAAACAATGGAAGCTAGTGCACATGCTAAAGGTAATATTTCAAAAGGTTCGAGGTTGTGACTTTGAATATTTTCCCAATGTGGTATTCATATATGTGTGAAATACGGTCAAACCGACTTGCTCACCTGTAAAAGACAGATTAGCTGCACAAACAACCGCTTCCCATATTCCCCTTGACTTTTCAAAAATCATAATGACACTGTGTTAGGAGTACACCTGTCTAAAATGGCCTCTTTACTTTATTCCTTGACAATATCGACTGTGTATGCAAGTGGGGCACTACTGCAAACAACAAACCTTGTGTATAGCTGGAGCTGAGACTGATTGCCAACCGCCCATCAGTACTGTCAGTCAACATGGGTTTCATGTCTCCGCTTTCGCTGCCGGATGTCGAATCTCCATCCGCTCGCCGCAGGTCATCAAGGCTGGGAGAGCTGAAAACATGTTCAACATCCGAGCTCGATGGAGACTTGATGATGAAACTCGTCTCAGCTTCGCTAGCCTCACTTTCATTTTTAGTACCATTCTGAAGTACGGCAGAAGAAATCAGACCTTCAAGAATCCACTGTGCTATTTCTTCAGAGCTCATGTCTTTCTCACTCTCTTCACTTCTATCCAGCTGTTCACTTTCCTCCTCTTTCTCATCATCTATCTCTTCTAATTCCTCCCTCTCGCTCTCATTCACACTGGAGAGTGTCCTTGGAGAACTGTCCCTTCCCTCCTCCGCAGCATCCATCTGATCCTCCACCACCTCTGTTCCATCAAAAAAGATGCCCTCCTTCTTACAAGTATCACTGTTCAGTCTCTTCACCCCTTCCAGATTTGGCATTGACGCAGACTGGGGGAAGTCATACCCGTCAAAAATGAGCTTATCCAACGAACTCTCCGACCCAAATGGGTTGATGCGCAGCTTCACATTCTCTGGGTTTACCCTTTCGAAAGAGAGGTCGGTGACCGAGTGCGTGCGGACGGGCGCCGTACTAGGCCCACTCTTGTGGTTCATCACCGTCAGGGCATAGGACTTGAGGTCCTCGCTTGACTTCTTCAGATGTTTCCTGCCGGGTCCCGGCGACTTTCCCTGGCTCAGGTGGTAGATGACGTTCCCGCCCTCTGAGCTGATGGCGTAGATCTTAGCCTCCAGATCCTCCTCCCCGTCCTCAGACACTGACACTCGCTTGGGTTTGTGCACGTTCACATGCTGAATGGAGATGCTGAAAGAGACATGATCACACAAAATAAGCAAACATTAAGGAGCACAAAAACAACCACACATATAAGCAAACTTTGGGGAGCATAAACACTCATTGACTAGTAGTATTTACCAAGAATGTTTATGAATTTTATGGGGTCCGTCAACGTAACAGTAAACTGTAACGTTCAGAGAACTACTATTTAATAACGATATGTTCAAACCTGCTCTTAAGACCACCTGTCCAAGGGAATCACCTGTACAAACAACCACTTTCCACTTCTACCATGTGTTTTTTCTACATTATAACGACACTGCTTAAGAGAACCAACTGTCTAAGATGATCGCTTTTCTTTTGGACAATGGATGGTCAACTTGGATGGGCTCGACTATATCATCATTAACCCTTCCCCGTTCAACCTGGTCAAATTCAGCCTGAAAAACGGCAGCACTAGTGTTCAAACGAGCCAAAACTGGCCATATGTGTTGTTTGTATCCTTCACAGGAAAGAACGGCTAAGATACAAGTTAATCAGTGGTATTAAGCATTGTCTTGTTTTCATTTTTAAGGAAAAAAATGTGTCAAGGGCCGTAATCAAAGGTGAGAATTCACTATAACTTCACAAAAGAATGTGATTAATAGAACCAGTGTCTGTGATATAGCGCAGAAGGCCCAATAGACCTGCATGTGAGCCTCAACCAGATTGTCTGAAAATTTTGAGCAACCCCCCAAAAGAGCTTTTGTGGGCGTCAGCAAAGGAAGGACTTCCGAGTAACGAACGACCACCCCAACAAACACAATAAAGAAGAGACCTAATCCTGACCCAAACCCTACCCCTAGGCCTACACCAAAAAAGAACCTGCAACGGCCCTCATGTAAAAAGGCCAGCACAAGTCCAAAATGCAAAAAAAACCAACCCCACACTCCAAAACAAACAACGAGCATTTAATACTATGGCCTACATAGCAAAAATAGGCTTTGATACAATAACACAATAGAATTGGAATATGAATCCTCCATATAGATCTAGATCTAGTAATCTAAATAAATCTAGATCTAGTAGAACAAGTGAATAGGAATAGGCCTTGAACGAGAAATCCGTACCCGATTCCGAACAGAGGGACTCAGCTGAGTCTAGATTCTAAATAAATAATTCACGCACCTGATAAAATGCTTTTTAAAAACATTAATATTACAGCACAACCTAGGATAGGGTTTGAAACTATAGAATTGGAATATGAATCCTCCATTGAGGTCTATAATGATCTATATATCTAGATCTATTAGAACAAGTGAGTCGGACTTGAATGAATCCACATGATCAGAACAATCAACAATCAGTCAGTCAACAAACGAAATTCAAAATGGCAGCTCGAGCACGAAACTGAAAGTAGATAGTTTAGGTCGTCGTCCTTTTTCGTATTCGTATTTCTACTCAGGTTCCAACAATTATGTCGGAAACGCCGATGTTGGCAGTCGGCACGAAAATGAAAGTGCCGACAAAGCCGACGGGAGACAAAGTGGGAACTGGCAGTCGGCCAGGCCTCGCACTTTGACTGATACAGGAGGGCCTAGCGATAGCATCGGCCAGCGAGCGCATTTCAGACGATTGTCGGCAAACATGCAGGTCTAGGCCCAAGTCTGATTCTCTCGTGGAGACAATTTTCACTTTAAATTTTGGTCTTTTAGCTGGGATGTTGTATCCCTCTGACCCCAGGTTATTTGCGACAGGCAGGGTCAAACTCATCCTTCTAAATTGCAGCGATGAGGCTTTGGGAGGGGGGTGAAAACACCAACATAGAGAAAAAAAAAAAATACTAAAAGGCTGTTCAGAGCACAGATAGTTAAGCAAAGTGGCTGCACCTGCTGACAGAGAAAGTGAGATGGATAGAATTAACTGCTCACCGTGCTGTGTCTGGGTGGAGCAGCATGAGCAGCAGGGGCTGCAGGACACGGCTGGTGTCTCCTCGTTGGATTACATGGGTCAGCCAGGTCAAGGCCAGGGTCTTGGTGATGCCCGACTCCTCTTTCAGGCTGTCCAACACCACAAACATCGACCTAATGGGACAGGAAATTTCATCGTCATGAAACTGGAAGTTTACTGGTGATATTTTTACTGAAAAGAGTCGTAAGAGGAGTAAGATCATAGGAAAGGAGCAAAAGTGAGCTTCCACCTTTTAATAAGAATGCAAATCTAGAAGCTGACTTTTTATTGAGTTTAAGTATTAGTTAAAGAAAAGAGAGGCACATCGAATCAATAATGATCATTTTGTGCAGGGGAATAGCAAGACAGAACGATAGAAACAACAGAAGAAAAGACGATACTGGTGCCCTCAATCACCTAAACATTGAATTAGGCAACAGATATTTGATCAAAGTAATAACTCAAAGTATGAGGTATCATTTTCACAACGACAGTTTTAAGGATTAAGATCATAAGGAAAATGCTGCAAATGAGCCAGATGATATTCCCTTCCCCATTTTCAACCTTTGTAGATCTTTTCTGAGTTTAAGTGTTAGTTCAAATTAAGTAAAGAAAATCACATCAAGGCAATAACAGTTACTTAGTGCAGGGAAATATCAAGATAGAAAGAAACAGCATTATACTACAGGTTTTGTTCGTAAACTTACCTGTCAAATGTGCGGGGACTGATAGATGGGTTTGGTTCCAGTTTCAAGGAACGGGTCAGATGCCACAGGATGCTGAACTTTTTAAATGCTGCAATTCGACTTGTCTGTAAATTCAACAAGAAAGCAAATGCTAGTCTAAACTTAATACACAAAAAATCACAGCATTCAACTACAACATACTTTGCTCAAACAAGATAAAAATTATTACCAATTTAAAGAAAAATTTGCTTGAAAAAAGACGAACATATTGATATGATAAATATCCACAGTACAGAGAAAATGGAAGACCAACAGACAGAAGCAGCACGGAGAAGAGAAAAAGAGGAGGAACTTCAGTGGCATTCTCCAACTACCCACTTGAACAAAACGAGGCCAAACAGTGTCCAGACATGGCACAAAAACTTTGGATATCATCAGCAACCCAGAGTGCAGGAACCTATAGCATTTGTAATGTTTAAGACCTTAAGGTAAACACTACTTCCTGCCCTAAAAACAAAGCAGGGTCTCATCATGTTAACATAAACAAGCATATCATATCTTTGGAGTTAAAGTTTCTAAAAGAGCGCTAGTTCCCAAATAGTCAGTTTAATCATTGCCCCATGTCACCAGGACCAGATAATACATTTGTTAGAGAAAAGAGAAACACACCAACACAATACCTGTTATTCAGTGTTGAGAAAAAGTAAAGCAGACAGACAGAAACAACAGAGGGAAAAAAAGTAGGACCACGAGCAGCACCTACCCGCTAAAGAACAGATTCTTTAAAAAGACAAAAATGACCACTGAAAAGAAGAAAACAAAGCATCTCATATCAAAGCACCAACAAACCAAACCAGCCTCTCAACACAACGGCCATTCAGAATAGGGAAACGGAAGTTAAAGATCAAGAAACAACAGAGGGAAAGGTAAGTAGGACCTACCTGTGGTGCCTTCAAACAACCCACAACTAATCACAAGACAAAACAATCTAGCAAAGCAACACGAGATACATAGGGAAAAAAACCACTCACTTACTTCATACATCAGCCCGCAGAACTAACATGATTAATCAAATAGGGAAAAAAAATTAATAAATGCCACAAAATTTAGTGCTCAAATTACCTCTGAATCACTAATGAGGTCTCTTCCTATAACATCCTCACAGACATTAGCATTGGGGGTCACTTGGTGCAGGGAGTGGAACAGTCCCACAGCCTTCTGGTGCCTGTCGGTCGTCTTCTCTCCCAGGTGAGCCCACAGCTCGCACGCTACCAGCTGTGGGGGAAACAGATTGTGGTAATTTTGTATGGGTTGAGGGGGAGAGAGGGAGTGAGAAAAAGACAGAGAGACAGAAAGAGAGAGAGAGAGAGAGAGAGAGAGAGAGAGAGAGAGAGAGAGAGAGAGAAAGACAGACAGACAGACAGATAGACAGACAGACAGAGACAGAGCGAGAGAGACAGAGCGAGAGAGACAGAGCGAGAGAGAGGGAGGGAGGACTTGCACTAGAAAATATACATATGGAAACAGACAGAGATATGAAACCCAAACAAAGACAAGACAAAAAAAAGGTTGAATTTTCCTAAACAAACAAAATAAACAACAGTAAAAATCTAGCTTATAAAATTTTTTCACCCCATATATAAAATATTTACAAACAGCAGAACAAAAAAATAACCAAATGTACAGTATACTTCAGCGTTGTAACATTGGAGACCTGCAAGTGAATATTAAAAACGTTAATAAAACAAATGGTTTTCCATTTAAAAATGATAACATGTTGAACAAAATTACACTTTTTCTGTAAAAACAAGTTTGTTTAAATTAACATAATATTATCAAATTATTTACCCCTCCAAAAAAACCCTAACAAATTGACTGGTCAGCATAAGACTCTGCCATACATCATTTTGAACATTGACGCATGATGGAGCCTTACACTAAAAAGTCAAAAAAGATAGAATCAAACAATTTACACAGTAAAAATAAGTGCGCTTATAATTTAAACAAAACAATCTTTACCCTGTAAAAACAAGTGTGCATGTTGATATAAACCAGGTGGGTGGGCAGGAGGGCTGGCAAGATGACCACGGAGATGCGACCCTCGCTGTGTGAGCGGTGGGTGTGGCTGCGGGTCTTGTTCTCGCTCTCCGTCTGCACGGACTGCGTGAGGATGACCAGGTCCAGCATGGTGGAGATGGAGGAGCTCTGCACGGGGAAGCTCTCCACATAGCAGGAGCACAGCAGGAGGTCCTGAAGCCACGGGGGGAGGGTGGAGGCTTCTTCTGTTGGGGGGCACGATACAATAATATGGTAAGTTTTTTAATGTTTTAGAAAGAGTTTACGGCACTTGCAACACAATACGGTCATATAAGTGCCAAAGATTAGAAGTGTTGCATGAGAGTAACAAACATAAAACAGAAGGAGGAGAGATCAGGACGATAGATTTTTCATAGGAAAGAAGGAGCAAACCACACCAGAGCACCTGCCAGCCACCAAATAAAATGGTAAAACAGTCAACAATGATATAGTACAATTTAGAATTTAGAATATGATACCACTATGACAAGGTACAACAACATGATTTGGAATGATAATGATGTTAAGTACAACACCATGGTATGGTACAATTACCAAATGTGTATCTGTGTATATGTGTGTGTGTGTGTGTGTGTGTGTCTCAAATGCCCCCCTGTATGAGTGTGTGCGTGACTAATGCCCCCCTGTGTCTGTGTGTGTGTGTGTATGTGTACATCCGCGTGCGCACACGTGTATGTGTGTGTCTCCAAATCCCCTGTGTGTGTCAGTACCATAGTATGGCATAATTATGATATGGGACAACAATAATATGGTACCATAATACAGTGCAATAATGGGATGATACGTAGAATAAATGTGTCACAACGGCGTAGAATCAGGCGCCAATCAATTTTTGGGCATCTCAAGTTATTGGTATCATCTTAAAGCTTGTTCATTTGACCATCTTTTGATGAAAAAAATACACGCCCATCTTTAATAAAAAGTCAAGATATTTGCGATTGAAGGCGGTCGGGGTCGCTTTGTTTCAGAGGTAAAATTAGTGAGAAAATGGCCGCCAAAGTTTGGTGATTTCCAAAGCTTGGAAACTAAAAATGTACATTTGTTATGCCTTTAATTAATGTTTTGCAGTAAAATCCAGAGAGAAATATGTTTTTAAATCGACATAAAAGGTGTTGAGCACCCACGAGGCCTCTCAAATGTTTGTAAATCTTTGACAGCACAGTATAGACCATTCAGGAGGCATGCTTTATCTTTGGATTCTAACATAACATGCAATTTGGAGTCAATCAGTGTAACAGACGAAGTGGATCTAAGTTTTTAATAATTTGTCGATTATTAATGAGGAGGACATCAATATAATAAATGGTCACTCAATACTTTGAAAAAAGGAGACAGACAGAAACAAGAGAAGGAAAGAAAATAAGTGACCTAAAGTGAACAGTGAGTTAACACTCAAACAACAGTTGGACAGAAAGGAGGCAGAACTTACCAGAGGCACCCTTTAATTATTCCCCCACAGACATTACCTTATGTTCTGACTGCTGTAACAATTTCAATATTATCTTGCAAATGCAGAAAAGATGCTACAAGTCATAACCTCTCAAACAGGAAGTTGCATACATCACCAATTACCAAATTCATCTTAAAGAAAAATATTTACAAGCAAATACCATTATGCATCTGTATGTTGAAGCCAGCCCAGGTCTTAGACAGAAAATCTAATTTTTACCAATGAGACTAAACTGAACACTTTGTGTGATGCTGAACCAATACAGTATTATAACTTGAATGCAACTAAACTCAAAAAGACATCAATAATTTACTCATCGTGACATAGTGGCTAAAAAGGGAGAAATAAATTTCTTTTACGGGCATCAGGTATATGTTGAAAGAGTAGATATCCACCTCAGCCAAAATCTTATAATCACAAACAATGTGCACTAACAAAATAAAATCCATACACACTAACCTTTGCTACACATCTGCTCAATGACAGTCTCGTAATCCGTACAGTAGATGGGGAAGCTGGCAAAATCCACCAGAAGCCTGCACGCTTGGTTAAAAGCACGCTCAGCTTCTGCGCTGTCATCCGACAAACACAACTTGTTGGTGAGTGGATTCACGCTGTACCGCTGTCCTGAGGTATCTTTCACCTCTCGAGTACGCCCATTCTGGGCAGACGATGACTGCGGTGATGTCACAACCCCGTTGCATCTGTGCAGGTGCTGAAGCCTCCCTTTACAGAACTCTTCAGACTTGAGGATGCGCAAGTGGCAAAAGCGATGGAAGAACTGTTGAAAACTTTGAACACATAGCTGCATAAGGCTTAAGTGACCTGACCACAGTTTGTTGTTGATGCTAGTCTGAGAGGAGATGGGTTTGCCAGCGGACGAGGCAGGGGGCGCTGTGGTCTGCCCCTCTTTGTTCTTTGACACAACTGTTTCCGTGGATTCAGATGCGCTTGTTGATGGTTCCTGTGGTGAGGTAGCCGATTTGTCCACTCCACTATCTGAAGCAGCCGAGGTCAGAGCGGTCCCGGTGCCTGTAGACGCACTTAACCCTTGAGAAATCACACTATCACTATGAGAGAGAGAAATGCCACTCTCTGTGTCTGCAGTCTCTTCCGATTTAACAGGTTCCGACACCTCGAGAGAATCATTTTCTTTTCCATTTTCACCAACAGCCGACTTCTCTTCAGATTTTAGTTTCTCAGCTCCATTCTCTACTTTTGAACCACTCACGTCTTCACCACTGGTTTTTTCCTCTCCAGCTGCCTCTGCCAAAGGCTTGGATGTTTTCTCTACCTCCTCCTCCTCCACTTTCCTCTCAGCCGGACCACCCTTTCCTTTAAACCCATCCAGCCCGTGGGAAAGTTCAGAATTGCTGAACACACTTATGTTGTCACCTCCATCCATGGAGAGAGAATGTTCTAGAACATGGCCAGCCATGGATGGCTGGACACGGGCCAGCAGACAGGAGCACAGTTGCAGTGTGGTGGTCACCTCAGCCTCTGTGATGGTGTCACAGGCTGAGGTCAGAGAGGAGATCACCTGTCTCAACAGGTCAGGGAGATGTTCCGTTGTAGTCTCAGGGTACACATCCTGGGAGACAAAATTTCACAAGTTTCAAATTTGTTACTCTTCTTATTCTACATGAACAAAGGAGTATGAAACGACTGAAACTGATCTGCAACATATAGCTAGAGTCTTAAAAAGGAGCATACTCACATAATAACGGCTATTTAATCCAGAGAATAAAGTCAACTGAATGGAAGTTTAGCTTTAGAAATGAGAAGTAAATCATATAAATAGCAATTTTTAGCATGAAAAAAACCTGATACTAATAGACACAAAAAACAAGAGGAGAAAAGATCATGGGTAGGGCCTACCAGAGACCCTTTCAACTATCAGCATGATTACATTAAGTCACATGAATGCAAAGGGGGAAAAAAAAGAAGCAACAGAAAAAGAGTGGTTGCCGTGAAGTTATGCTTCACAGCATGCGGGCATGAAACTACATACATTTAGCCAGGAATACAACAATGGCAGTGCTCAAAACAAGAACAAGAGGGTCCACCAACTACGACTGCAGAAAAAAGTAAAGCAAAGAAAGCAGACTCATAAGACATCAGCGACCTTGTATGATATACATCGCTCGTAACATAAAACAGCACCAACCAGGTTCAGAGACACTATCAGAAGATGATTATAAAGAACAGAAAAGACATTGTCAAGATCATATATTGGAAGATCGGGTCTATGTTGGATGAACTTCATATAAAGCTTATTTGAATAAACAAAAGCACATCAGCATAATAATGGTCATGTACAGTTTTTTTTTAATGCAACATTGACGAAAACAAGAGAAAAGGTTAAGAAGTAGGACCTACAAGTGGCGCTTTCTAACCATCCATGAGGATGGATGTCCACTACTTCTTTCGCACAAGCCTGTATAATAATTGAGTATCACCTGCACTTTATGTTAAGAGAAGCACATTGACACAACAATGGTCATTCAGTGCTCAAAAAAACAGACGCTCAAAAAAAGCAAAGAAAATAGAAAAACAATAATTACAAACTAATAACTGTAGTAGTTGTAATAATATATGACACTTTTATAGCACTCAACCCAGATTTTAAAAATACAGACTCCGAACGTTTTAAATACAAGGAGCAACAAAAACAGTACAAGTGAAAAAACAAAAACTACCAGCGGAGTCCTCCAACCACCTGCTCTCTGCCCTTTAGACTGACCCACATTGAAGAAAGCTGCTATTATCTCCAACACGTATGTATACCACTAAAATCTATCAAATAAAATGCATAACTAAACAGCACGCGCAGACTCACCAAAGCTATGACATCCAAAAGAAACTCCACCAGCTGACAGAGCTCCGTTATCGCCACCACTTCTCCCCCGCTGTCGCCTGAAGTGGTCTCCCCTCCCGTGTTCTTCTGATCACAGGCAGAGCTGAACATGCGTGCGATAAAATCCCATATGAAATAAGGCTCGAAGGAGCCAAACAGTAAATTGGCTGTTTTCAGTGTCTCTAAAGGAAGTCGGCTCTCCGACAAGCCGCTGGTTTTGCTGGATTCTGTCTTGGCGTACAGGTCCCCCTCGACTTTGAGCCTGCGGAACACAGACAGAAGCACATTTTCGATGACCACTGGACCAATTTCTGGCTTGTCCAGCAGACTGATGAGGATGCGGAATGGCTTGAGCACACCTAGCTGGACGTCACTGGCACTAAAGCTTGGACCATCAACGGCCATCAGCTTTGACTTCAGGGCAGAGACAAGCAGTTCCTTGGAATAGGTCTGAAAAATAATAATGGTCATTACAAATAAGGCAAGACAATTGACAGAACTGAAATTGGCTGAAATCTGTTTGACTGATGGCGATGATAATATTCCAGTGCACAGACTGCAGAAGAAACTTTTATAATGGCACGATGTATCTTGCAAATAAAATCTTTGCCGAGATCCATTTCACAGGTAGTTACAAAAATACAGTCAAACTTGTCCAAGATGACCACCCACTGCCAAGGAGAAAAATGTGGTCATCTTAGACAGGTGGTCCCCTTGGATTTTGTTATTAAATTACAGAAAAAATGCTAAAGGGGAAGTGAGAAGTGGTCATTTGTACGGGTGACTGTCTTGGTGATCATTAAGAGATTTGTCTAGAGTTGTTTGCTTACTTGAAAATAGCTGAGATCCATTTCACTGGTGGTTGAGGAACTGTCGGCTCTCTGACGAGCCGAGGAGGAGCTGTCCACCGTGACAGTAGCAGTGGTGGCAGTTGTGGACGTCCCCAACAGCCAGGCGTAGAGCCGCCGGTTGAGCGACATGTCGCGACGCAGCACCACGTTGACAGCTGCCTCCACCACTTTGGCCTGGTCAGCTCGGGTGAGCTGGCCGTTGTGCATGGGGAAGGCCATCAGGAGGAAGTCCAGCATGCTTCTCTGTACCAGCACACTCGAGTCCTGAAGGCATGCACAGACACTAGATACCTGGAGATGACAAAAGATTGTAAACATTTTGGTAAGTGTTTTACGGGGCTCAAAACTGCATCAGGTCATATGAGCGCGCAGGACACATTAATTAAGCAATTTCAGTTTGGTAGGAAATACTTTTGAATTTGGCCCAGCTGGCGGCTAAAGCCTATTCCTATCGATTTTAGCTCCATCAGTACAATACAGATCATAAAGGGAGAATGCTGCTTAGGCCACGCGCGCCTAAATGAGATACAGCATCTCAGATGGAGAAAACTCAGCAAAATAATATCTAAATTCAGGAATAAACTCACATCATCTGTGTGGGATGACAACAAATCCAAATATTACACCACAGACACCAATGCAGACTTACTTAGAGACATAGGCAGCATTGACAGATCTTGTATGGCAAGGTTCAGGTTAACTCCCCCTAAATACACTGTAAGCTCATTTAGGAAGTGACACCTTCTATTCAAGAAATGAGAGAGAGGGATAACAAGAGATAAAGACAGATAGACAGACAGACAGAGGGGAAGGGGAAAGAGGATGGAGGAAGAGACAGACATAGACTAAAAGAGGCAGAAAGACACAGAGAAAGATAGACAAAAGAAAGAGAAAAAGGGACAAACACAGAGAAAAAAACAACCTACAGACAGACAGAGACAGCAGCAAAGAGATAAAACGCCATAATAGCAATGTCCAAAACAACAACACTGAGATCATGTGATTTATACCATAAGACCAAGGTCCAGTCCCATCATGTGTAACTGGTCCCTCATACTCTGTCATTTGTCCACCAAGTAGCTAAAAAAAGAGCAATGTTACCATAAGATTTATATCTAGCCCAATAATGCGTAGCTAGTTCCCTTTGCTCTGTCATTATTTGCACAGCACGAAGTTCGGGAAAAGAAAGAGAGAGAGAGGAAAGAGAAAAGAAGAAGAGAAGCAGACGGACAGAAAAACAGACAGACAACAACAATGAGATAAATTTTACCATAAGATCGATAACCAACCAAATCATGTGTAGCTGATCCCTCATGTTTTGTCATTTACACATCAAGAAAGAGAGAGAGAGAGAGAGAGAGA